TCATCTTGATCTATTGTTACTTTCAAAGTACAATTAGCAAAATCCAATTAATAAATATTCAAAAGATTGTGATAATCAATATAAACAAGTGAGCAAAAAACAATTAATTTTTGCTCGTTATAACACAAAGATTCGCAAGAATATTTTCGTCGCGAAGCTTGTTAATTAAGGCATAAAATCATTGTGACAATGTGCGTAGGTATGATCGTATCGCGAGCGGAGGTAAGCGATTGTTGGCGCACACTCGTACGTACGCACGCTTATGCGCACGACGATTTGGAATTGAGTGCTCGTCGTAATTACGCTCGTATCTTCGACAGCCAGGCACCGGCCATTCAATTTTTATTATCGCGGAATATCCAGTTCCGGCTGCGCTACATAATCGCGTTTGGCGCCTCGGCGCACTCGGGAATTATTCGGTTCGACGCCCTTGAAATTATTACGAAACGCTTATTCGGCGGCTATCAGGATCTACCGTGCTGCAGATAAAATGGTCCTTAAAAGCTCGGGCTCGTCTCTTTCATTTAAGCGGTACAATTTTTCAGCTTTATCATATAAGAGCAATTCGTAAGCGATACTCGTATTCTTAATCTCTTACTGTAAATATTGCATTCTTTAAATCATTTTCTCATTACAAAAGGTTTTTGTATGCCAACGTAATTTATATGCAGACATATGGCGTTATAAAAGTACTTCTAATTTATATAGATAAGTTTGAATACCTAATTTAGTTAGATAGGTCTGAAAATAATTTTGTTGAATCATCAAAATATGTAGGAAACTCAAGTGTAATAAACAATGAAGCAAGAAAATTTTGACATTCTAGCAACCAGTCTAGGCATTATACATCATTATTTTGGTAATTTAATAAAATTATTTTCAGATCTGTGTTTCGCTAAATTTTTAGATATATCAACAATTTATTAGCAATTACGATAGAAATAGGATGACAAAACTGATATCAATATATGTAAATGTAATTATTCAGCATACACACACACACACACACACAAATCTTATTTTTACTTAACACTTTAATTATGTACGTTAATTAATGAGGGAAGATTAGTCACACAAATACGACCTTCTTTATTTCGAATCATAATGAGAGTGGAAATCCTTTTTTAGGCGAAAGAACTTCTCGATCTCTCGATCCAAGTCAGCGCAAATTAATTCGATCCACCCTGCAGTGGTTATCCGTTTAACAATGAATAATGTTTGCGAAAGAAATTGCGGTGAATTTTGGAATAAGTTTAATTAGCTCGCGGTAACTTCCATACCGGAGTAATTAGAAAAAATTTCAGGATTAAGCGACTATTGTCCCGATGCCGATCTTGAATGACGGGCTGCTGCCGTTACTGCCGTCGGGATATTATACAGTCGCCTGTAAGGAAGACCAAACTGGCTCCTTCACAAAGGATTATTAATTGACTTCTGTCTCGTATCAGAGGGTCGCAGACGCTCAGAAGATCCTTAATTATCCTTGAAAACGGTAGATCTTTGTCGTCTGAGATTGCTTCCCGCTGCAGCCGATAGTTTGTCCGTAGGTTGTCTATTGAATGGACACTCATAACGTGATGAGTTTTATCAAAACTTGCAGCAAAATGTGATGGATTTTAATATTGATATATACCATAATAATCATATCAATACCGATAAACTGATAAATTCATTTTTATGTATAATTCATGCGTGATTAACGGATTTCGAAAAGTGTATCTTTAATTAATAACTGACTGATTAATTCATCAGTAATATTGATAGAAGACTTCTGCGGCCGATTGTTTGCTGAGATCTAAAGACACAGAAAGGGGAGATTCATCTGTTTCCCTTGTGGAATATTCTTCGCAACGGGAAACAACAGCGGATATCGTGGCGATAAATTGGCAAGGGAGCGTCTTGCTTTTCACCGGAGATGACGACGTGCAGTGCGGTACAATGAGAGAGCATAATATTCAGTGGCTGTGCGAATTGTCTTCCACCCCAGAAGTCACCCCTGGACTCATGATTGACTGTTTGCAGACTGGGTGTCTCTTAAACAACGGAAACAGACTGGTCTGGTGACGACAATGAGACGCAACTTTCGAAGAAATATGAAAGAATATTTTGCATAATAAAACGAGGAATATAAATGATAGAATATCATGTTGAAATTTTAAAAAATTGTATTGTGATCTCTGATATTTGAATTAATTTTTAATTTTAAACCTATTTTAGTCTATATCAGTTAATTGTTAGAAAAACTGAAAAAAAGAGATTGATAACAAATTGATTTCGTACTCCAAAGAAATAAAATTATAAATTTGCTTCTTGAAGTTAATTATCGTAATTTAATCGTAATAATGAAATAAGCATCCTTACTATTCATTTTTTAACTCACCTCTGATACAATGCAACACAGATTTTAATGTTACTTATAACTTATCAAATTAATTTAAAGTTAATCATTATTATTTTTTTTATAAGCGCCTTTTCTTTTTTTAACTAATAAATATACATACAATAAAGATTTTAATTGTTACTTGTATAAAGAAATACTTGTAATATTTCGTATTATACCATTTTTTTCTACAAGATAAAATTGTAAAATTGCTGATACTTGTACAATTGTTCGCCAGTGCAAGACTCCCCTGGAACGTGATCTAGCAACTGTTCTCGATATTAAAAGATGCCATTTACTGGTGAGCCCTTAATATTGTGCCCGAGGGTAAAAATTTGCATCGAAAGCGAAAGCGGGACGCAACCAAGGGGTACAAGAGCGCTGATAAAAATGAAAAAAACAAAGCGTGATCCAGAACTTATCGATGCGTATAAATGCACCGTTTTTCTTTTACTTATTTCATTCACGGTGACTACCCATTAGTTCTTCTACGTTGAATGTATACATCTTTCAATGCCTTATGTTTTATTCACAAAAGAAATGTACATTTAAATAATATCTATTATGCGAAATATGATGCAGTCTTCAGCTAACATTGAAGGGGGGTAGTTTGAAAATTTAATGTTAAACACTTTCGATTTAGAAAAAAAAATACGTATACACGAAAGGTAAACGATATTCGTAACAAAACGCAACATGAAACAAAGTAAAACATGCAATCGACGATTAACGTGCTCGCTCACGCGAATCTCTCTTCTCGTGCACCGTAAAACACATACGTACGTACGCGAAATATTTATCGCACGGATTAGGGATTGCTCGAAGGTTTTTCGGTCTTATCTTTCGTCGAGTTCTTACGGCATTGTGCCGCTTGCGAACTCATCAGCGTGATGTACGAGTAAGTGTAGAAAATCGTGCCGCGCCACTTCGAAATAGGTTCCTGATGTCTCTCTTACTGCACGAACACACATACACCAATTCCGGTCCTTCCGCCTTTCTTCCCACGCTTTCCTCCCGTTAATACTCCCTTCGCGATAGTTCGTTCGCTCGAAATCGCTATCATCTACGGAAAGGCGTTTATTTCGCGCCGCTCTAACGCTTATCTTGCGCGAAACAAGCTGCCATTCTTTCCCACCTCATTGGCTTCCGTCGTTAATCATTTTTTTTTTTTACGATTCGGATTGCTCATCGTTTCGCGAGCGAATTTAATTGGACACCACAAATTTTTCTATCTAATTAATTTCATGGAAAAGCTCTCTATTAGCTAAATGAGGAAACATCTATAAAATCCTTAAGAATCATGGAGTAGTAGAAATTATTTACGCTCATGCTCGTCTATTTTCGGGAAATGAGGAAAATTAACGATTACTTTCTTCCCTTGAGTTATTTAAGTCTTTCTTGTAGAAGCCCACTAATTATTTACGCTCATATACACTAACTAGCATTTATAAACACTTCGACATTTACATCACGATTAATTACCTTAAAATTATTATCAGCGCGATGTTAGACGTAGACCGTAGAATGTATATAAGGAAACGCCAACGAATAATTTCACTGTGTAAAACGCGGCGAGAAAAATCCGCGCGAATGTCTTCGATTTAACGATTATGCGCGGTTTACGGCGCACAGGAGTTCGCTTTAGCATAATCTCGCTTGAAAGTATCGCGTCAATAATCGCCTGATTAGAATTTTATGATTACGAGTGCCATTCGCGAGACGGAGGCTTGATCGCAAATGCGGCCACGAAATATACGCCATGTGTATGCATGAGTCGGCTGTAAATAATCGCTCGCCCCAACATTGACTGTAATTTATGGTTAATTTGACTGCGCCTCGCGCTTTGATGGCTAATAACTGGGACTAATGGTGAGCCTCTTAATGCCGCAACGTCAAAAGCCAGCGGATTTCAAAACAATAACGATCAATCGCGTTCATACTGATCAAAATTTTATTGTCCGTTTTTGAAAACAATTTTGAAACGAATTTATCTTCAGCGTTCAATGTGTGATTTAACTAATAAAATTCTATTATACAACATATTTTTGTTTTATTCATTATTTAACTTATTTAATAATAAATACAAAAACGGTAAAAGCAATGTAAAAATTTATTAGTTTTAAAATACAGAGCAATAACTACTTTGTTATTCGTGTAATTTTCTTTTAACTATTATTTACAAAAATAGAATTATATTACAATAGAATAACTAAAACTCTAATTACTCTGTTTTTATAAGCAACAATAATCTTTATAAATACATATTATAATCGTGATCTATTTTAAATTATGGTGATAGAATCAGTTCAAAATTCAGTAACATTATTAAAGATTTTAATCGATAACAAAAATAGTACATGTACAGATCAATCATAAGAGATGTGATCATGAATATTAATGATCGAATACATATATTTAAATATCAATGAATAAGTATTATGTGTATAATACTTATACATTGATAATCAGGATATTAACTAATATATCCATTACGATAGTAATCAATAACTAATTTGTAATCCTTTTGTTTGATACCTAAATTATACATAGTAACATGTTATTCTCTGCAAAATTATGATTAACAGAAACGATCGAAGAAATAAAGCACTTATATGTGGTAGCCAACTATTTAATAATTCCACTCGGTATCAGCAAATCGCCAGTAATGTGACTGTTCTGCTTGCGTAACAATGTTAATAACACTCGACGTCGATGGAATCTATAATCAAATTACAACACTGCCATCCCATGACACTGTATGGGTCCTCGCTATCATAATTCCGAAGTATTTCGAGCGGATGGAAACCACGAGTTTTGCGTCCGAGTCATTCGCCTGAAAATTATATCGATGTAGATATGAATATTTAGTTATACCGGCATCTCTAACGACATCGGATCGCGAATTCATGTTAATGAGTCGCGTGTATCAAATCTTACAATTCCATTTATTAACAATTACTAGATATCAATTTTTTAATCATGAATAAAATACGGATTGTTAATTTTCTTATTCTTTTAACGCACATCCTATATTTTTAATTATACGCGGTATTTCAGTCTCAATTTCTATTTTCATAATTTTTAAATTACTTTTTTTATGAATATAAAAGTTTTCACTCACCCATTGCCGATATAAAGATCTATCTGACTACCGCATCTTGATGCTGCAAAAAATTAAGAAAAAAATTAGAAACTCCATCAAATTCAAAAAACTAAACTTATGTATAATTAAGATAATAATCTTATATAAATTTTATCTTATATTTCTTAATTATAATCTTGAAATACATATAAAGATCCAATTCAATACATTTTTATATTTATTTTTGAATATAAAAATGTAATTTGTATCTCTGCATTTATAATATATCATATATATTTCCTTATATTTGTTATAGAAGAACATTAATTATTCCAGTGACTGGATATTGAAATGTTAAAGATGAGAATAATCGCTACAAGACAAAAAATGTTAAAGATAATTAAGAATGACGACAGCGGATTAACAAAAAGTAAGAGATCATTGCGATGTAATACATCCACCTGAGTTTCCTAGTATATTATTTAATACAGCAAAATGCATCGGTAACACTTTGACGTTGTAATGCTGAGCGTGATACACGGCCGTGGCATAATAAGCGCCGTCAGTGAGCGAACGCGGTTCGTTAATGAGAATATTATAATTGCAAAAGTTCCATTTGCTGAATCAACGCTGAGATAAATTATTGATGACCGGGAAACACTAACTGTATTCTATGGTGCATGCTTGACAATGCGAGGTTAGCATTAATTGGCAATGACTCCAAATAAAAAGAAGAGTACGTATTCATCGCATGATCATAGGATTCTATATTAATATTTAAATCTCATTTGTCGTATTAGATAAAGACAAAACGCATAATTTAAACTTGCTTCTTTCATAATGTTATGTTTTAGTATGGATTGACTAAGATACAAATAATTAATAATTAAGTAATTGTATAATTAGTAATTGTATAATTAATAAATTTATGATTCTGAATGAATAACGTTCTGGTGAACGTCTTTAGGACATAGAGATATCCTTTAAATGTTCTTTAGGAATCTATATTACCGTAAAAATGACCGTAGATCTATGACCATATATTCTAAAAAATATAGGTATGGGTTTGAATGCTATGTAGTATTTATATTTACAATTCTTACCGTATCGATGTTGATATAAATACAAACAAATTTATTATTATCATAGATGTGGATCTGACATCATAGTTTAAAACTATTGAATATTTTGTATGAGCCATAAGAATAAATGATATTTTGTGTGGATGGATCCACAAGAATACGAACAAAATATGCACCTTTAGTTGATGTATTGAAGTTGCCGATGAATCAGTCAGGAAACAGACAGACTAAGTTCTTCTTAATATAAATAATTGATTGATTAATCATTTCGAAGTCTGATTATGGGGAACATGTTGTATTGACGTTTAGCATATAGAGCGAAGGCCGGTATGTTCCAGTCAACTGTGAGTTGTGACTATAAAGTTTCCAAGCGACATCTTAGGAGAGAATATAAAATCACAATCTATACGCAAAGATGTATATATATATATATATAAGAACGTTAATGAGAGTGATTTGAATTTACGAGAAAATACAAAACAAAAACTCATGTAAAAAATCCAAATATTATATTGGTATTTATATCAATAACAATGAAAATTATATTTAATACTCGTGTTAAAAACACATCTACATTTTTAAATGTGATAGATTTTAAATATAGTAGATAGATAAATGTGCCAGATTTTAAATGTGATAGATGATTTTAATGTGATAGACATGCTAACGTAATAAAATGTTGTTGCATGTTGAGTACATATTTCGGTACACTTTGCAAAATCGACATGTATTTGGCTACACAAGAAAGATCCCTGTTTCTTAATGCAATTGAAATTAAAACCGTAATGCGGAAAGATACAAATTGTAGATCTAACAGAAATTGCCGTGCAATTCTTACCGAATCCCACAGGACGAGTCTGAGAAGAGAAGTGTGCATGCATATAAAGCGTAGCGACGATACACGAGGGTTGGTGGCGAGTCTTGCTTGCCAGAAATTGTGTTTATACCGACGCATAAAGAACGTTATGGAACGCGCGGGTAGAGGCGTCGCGAAAATTTAAAATAACAAAAAGGTACGGCAGAATAACGAGAAATAGAAATGCCGAGACGAACAGGCGCGTATTTATTCCGCCACAGAGTGTCTCACATTTTATGCATTTCCCTCAGTTTTTTTCTTTAAACTTTTTCAATTCTTTCAAGACATTTCCAAAATAAAAATATCTCTAAACATCAATAGTCTTGAACTATAAAATGAGTTAAATCAAAATGAGTTCATCAAATGAGAGAGAATAAAAAGTCATTGATTTAATTTATTCAATTCAATTTAAAATTACTATTAAATAATAAAAAGTATTTCAACACTTTAATATTTGATTCGAGAGTTAGTATTTTAGCACAAAGATCAAATTTAACTCTATACAAGTTGTGAGATCAAAATAGCTATAATTTTCGTTCGAGACCGATAACGAGCCAACCAAATCGAATTTGTTCATTCATTCCGTCAGATTTTACCAAGAAAATGCTAAATTCAAATTGCTAAAAAAAAAATTATTGATAGAATTGAAAAATGTGTTTTATGCAATATCCAATATACACCGTCTATAACCAAAGTATATTTCTATTTTTCAATCTTAACAGCTTATATTGAAGTGGAGAAATAGATGTTATTTATGTCAGAATAAAATGAAATTGAATGAAAAAATAAGATTTGGTTAACGTAATATGTCAATATGCTTCAATCTATTTTGTAATATTGATGAATTTCATGATTTTAATAGATACATTATCGTACACGAAAATAATTCGTAATCATGTTATTCTCGAAAATGAGGAAGAAAGCTGTAGTGATCCTAAAAACAATTAAGAATAAGATACTAAAATATAACATGTGTTATTTCAAATATTATCTATGATATTTCTCATATTAACACAATATATTCTCCTCAAATTAAAAAGCTTAGTACATTTTTCCCCAAAACCTGGTCAAATCACTACAATATTCCCGCAAAGAAAATGTGACACGAGTAAAAGATATAAAATCATTTAGTCGAGAGGAAAGAAAATAGTGTATTTTAAAATTATTATTCTAACATCTAACTTTGACTGTAATTGGTGCTTCTTCTCTGTTAATAATTTCATATTTTTAACTTATGTCACTTTTCTTGTAGAAGTGCGATGAAGTGACATGATATTATAAAATAAAATGGTCCTATTTTTTTAATGCGATAGGATTTTAAACAGATGAGGAAACGTATATATCAAATTGGCGAGATATCGCTAATTCATCGAATAACCGTCCCGCGTGCGTTCGTGTAGTATTCTCGCTAATGGCGCGAGACTTCTTAATGAGAAAGCGCGTCTTAATAAAACAGCAGTACAGCCCGCCACATACACCAGAAATATCGGTGCGCCCGATAGAAGCTTCGGATTTACGCGAGCGCTAATGGCGTAGTAATCCGCCATCGAGGGTTTCCGGGGTGAGATAAAGCGAGAACTTGGCTACCGTGCACGAGTGATTACGTTAAGAGACCTCTTTTATTTATGCGATTTCGGCCGTACCACCAAAATCATCATGGTAATATGTATTTGTAGCGTATCGAGAGTGAGAGTGTAAGATTGGTCGAACGTATAGAAATAGCACTAAAACATAATTCCGTGATGCCATTAATTTCTTAAATCCAAGTTGGAAGTTCATAAGTAATCTGTAACCTACATGGTTATAGAATTATTTATGTAATTAAATGTACGTACATTTTCGCACATATCCAATTATGTCGAGACTGATAAGCAAATGTAAATCAGATCGCGTTTCTGCCACATTGCATGTCTTATATCTTATCGCATCCTAACCATTCGTACGTTAGTTACTACAGACCGGTAATTTTCGTCAGAAACGCGGCGGTGCGCGTGAAATAAACTACAAAAACATAACTGCGAAAATATTGCTCGATACGTCGCGAGTGATATACGAGGAAACCGGCGCGTGACGCGCGTTCTTACATGCCTACATGGTCGGGGCACGTAAAGCTTGGCCATGATTAAGCTTCCACGGGCACGCATCCCACGACGGAATAAAATATTCAGCGATCGTATACAAAGAGAAGCACGACGACGAAGCGGCGAGTTGTTTCGGGGTGCGCGTAACAATTTCATTACGACCGCGCATTTAAACTTTTAATATCGCCCCGGCGGTCGCCTTTATTGCGCGGCGTCCGCGCCTTCCAAGAGTATGACCTCGGCTTCGCGCACTCGTCCTTCTTCCCGCTTGCTCTCGTACTCGATCTAAGACTCGAGAATGGAATTAATGCGCGACTTTTATGAACGCTCCGAGTAATCAGCGTATTTCAAGTCGCGCGCGTGTTTATTCGCCGTCGCGTCGCCGCGTTTCCTTCTTAAAGAGTGTCCCATTTTCCAGTACCTGCATATTTTGCCGAATTTATTATACAGTTGAAATATTTGTTTAAAAACACATTTTCCAAACGGCTCATTTAAATTTTTGTATTAGTTTAACAAAAGATGAGTATAAAAATAATTAATAACATAAATTATACATACATATTTCTTTCAGTAAAATCAATATAATATATTAAATTAACAGGTATATTCATCTCTCATTCATTTATCTCAGAATCTTCGTTTTAAAATTATTATCTATGTTATTTATTCAGTTATTCATAAATTGTGTTATTTTAACACTAAAAAATATTAAATATTAAATTAATACAAAATGTTCAAATAATAAGCACATCATGTTAAATTAATGGTCGCATCATGTTAAAAATTAAACACAAAAATTTTGACAAGAATCGATTTTAACATAAATACAAAATGTTTTTTATTATAAACAAAATCGCATTCGTTTTTTTATCGCATCTAATGAACATTGATAATACATTGATAGAAAATAGAAAAATTGTTCTTGGAAACAAAATTAAAATGAAATGAGTTAACTTATTTTTAATTTTGCTAATTTATTATAAAGGTTACTTTATAACAATACTGCTTTTTAGAATAACGCGTTTTCTTCCTGACATTCTTCAGAGAAAATACGAATTAAACT